AAAAAAAAATAAAAAAAAAATTTATTAATCCCATAATTTAAAATTAAAATTAAATTTTGTTGTGCACCTATGCAATTTTATTTATTAAAAAAAAAAATTGTATTTTTAGTGTAGTTTTAATTTCTTTTATTAAAGTCAAGTATCAAATCTCATTATAAATTAAACTAGATATTTATTTATGTTGTAATAATGTACACCACTGCCACAACATCAAAAATATAATTGTCCTCAGCTAAAACAAATTTGATAAAATATGTTTTAACCAAATGCTAGAATTTTTTGTTTATTGATGTTATTATATTATGTAAGTTGTATTATTATCATTATTATTATTTCATTTTATCTTATTTATATTGTATTACAGTCAAACTTGTTCTTATAATCTATAATTGTTAATTTTTTTTTAAAACCTATATTTGTTGGATCATGGTTTGAATGATCATGATAAATATGTTATCAACACATAATTTACATATATTATAAATATATTCATTATAAATAATTGTAAAATAGCAAAAAATCAATAAATGTATTATGATTGAAATTGATTATTCAGTATTCTAGTTATTAATGGTTATAACTTATAAGTGTTATATTATAGCCATTTTATAAGTATTACATTTGTTTTGATTACATTTTTAAAATAGACCTATATTTTCATTAATAATTGTTATACTTTTGCGTGGGAAGGGGTGCAAGGGCGAAGCCCCTGCTGTTTACTTTACATTAGATGATTATTTTAGCCCCTCTAAACAATAAACATTCAACTAAATATCTGCCTATATGTACGGCACACGTATTGTATATAAGCATTATCTATTTTGTAAAAAATTATTTATTAAGTGTAATGTTTATATATTATTACTAGCTGACAGCTGTTAATCATACATAAAATACAGCACTATTTAGTTGTATCTCRGTTTAGTGTACCTTAGTCCAAGCGTGTAAATGGATGTCGCTCTGCTGAGTCTGCTGTAATACAGTTGGATACAAGTGGGTTACTGTGATGGATGGTATTAAATTTAAATTTAATTATATAATGTCATTGTATATACAAAAAAAGATTCTGAGTGCAGTAGACGGTTTGTCAGTCAAGGATATTTTACACAATATTAATTAAAATGTTAATAGGTATTAAAAAAAAATCAGATTCATTATGTAGCTACCCAACTCACTCAGTCTTTCATTGTATATACAATCCCGCAGAAAAAAATACTTTGGAGAAATAAAAAAGGCTTCCTGTGTGCGTAAGTACTAAGTTGAATCAATTGGAAGAAAAGATAGAATTTTGATGTTAAAAAATAAGTGAAATCAATCCCAAAAATTCTATGTCTCAACTTGAAAAAATATCAATTCACAAAAATTTCAAGATGTTCAACTGAATAAACGTTGAAAAAACAAAATTAGCACAATATGGCGTGAATAACAGATTGTCAACAACAATTCGAGTCAAACAGACAATTTATGATAAACAAGTCATTAATTTCATCATTGATATATGTCGTACTGGGTAATTTTTTTTCCAATGTTTGCACAGTCGAACATCTTGAAATTTTTGTGAAATTCGTGAACATTTTTACAAGAACATAGGTACAATAATGCATGTTTTTATATAAACACCCTTGAACGCAACAATATCATTATTCTATTTATTCTGATTACTTTTATTCAAAATCGATTGTAAGAAGTTCAGTATTGTTGCGTGTTATTGTTAGTTGCGAAAATATATTCGTGTATGACAAAAAGCTTAAATTCTCGTAAATCTTGCAGCCTGTTTGTCCAGTAATTATTGATCATCAAGTTAAAGATATTATGATCTAATGAAAGTTATATTACTCGATTTTCAATGTTGAATTTGATAACAGTAAGAGGAATGTAACAGATAGCTGAAAATTAGCTGAAGCCGCGGCGTCTTCTGGAAACGCAATTGAGATTGGTTACCTATGTTATTAATTGCTAGATCGTTATTTTGTTGAACTTCCAAAACTTCTCTTGGAATAGTCGAATAGTATWAGAAAAAAGAAATATGTAGTGACCCGAAGGGCAATATTGAAGATGAGGGGAAAAGTCACTCATAAGTTTGTATACGYGAGTGATGGGAGACTGGCCCACCACGATCCCTTGATTTATTATGTAATCGTTGTTGACGTCAGTCGTCAATAAACGACGCTCGGCCATTGCACTTGGGGTTAGGATTACTGAAAGGAAAAAGTTCCCCCAGGTTGGTCATGGAGTGTACATGCCAAAATAAAAGTCATTATCTCCAAGGCCAAACACTAACTCCGAAGTACCTCTATTATAGGGGAAACATCGTGGACTAAAGTCCTGGGCAGGAAATGTGTGCTGTTTTTTCTTGGCGTTTCATACGCACAGAATGGTGACTCTAGCGAGACTTTTCGATATGAGTAATATATAGTTAGTTTTTAATAAGTCATTAACAACATTAACTATTACAATTATAAATTATAACTTATAAGTATGCTCAGTGGCGTGGCGAGGTAAAAGTTACATGTGGGCGAAGTAGACTTAAAGAGGCCCTTTTAAAAAATTTTTTAACTTCTGTCATATTTCTCTATGGTTAATTATAAAGCCCTATGGAACGCGAGGCCCTTTGAGGTGTGAGGCCGTGGGCAATGGCCCACACCACCCACGCCTAGCGCC